TTTTTTTGACTGAATGATAGTGGCTGCAAATGCCATTCTTAGACTCCAGCTTAAATAAATGGGACTTTTCCGAAGGGAAACCTCACTACTCCCCCAGTAAAAAAACACCCGAATAAAAACAAAACACTTCCATTTCACACCATAAATAGCTGGGCTACACAAACACAGCCAGCCCTCCAAAAATACATTTCCAACTGTATCAAATTATACCCAACGGTGACTTCCTCCAAGCAGGCTAGCAATTAATCTGCACAGAACACTTCTAGAAATAGCTTTTATTCGTTTGGGCATAATTCTAATTTTTTAATATATATATATGTATATATATTTGTGGGAATGACCATCAGCATTGAGTCAGGGGATTTTTTTCGCCAGATTAAGTGGTGGGTGAACAAATCCGAGGATAATATTCGCCTTCAGGAAGGGGATTTTCTATCCTGTTGTAGACAAAAACACAAGACAGCTGATCTTACAAGAAAATAAAAATAAAAGAATTTTGGGTGAAGCAAAACAAACTGAGGCACCACATTCCCAATTAGTTTCAGGTTGGTTTTTTTTTTTTCTGTTTTGATTAATGCCTTTGGAAAAACACTGCCCGTCATAACCTTGGAGATATATATATATTTTAAAAATAATATTTACTTCATGGGCCGAGCTGAAAAGTGACTTTGTATCAAGGCTGGAAACTTTTCTTTTTTTTTAGTTTTCCACTGCTGTGTAAACAGCTGACATTCCTGCCATTTCCAATTACGGTATATTTTCTCCTACCTGAAACAAAAAAAAATCAGGACTGGCAAGATTTGCAAGCCGTGAGATTTACTTCCGGAGCAGCTCCCTGGGCCTTGAGACCTGGGTTCAAAAAACCAGGCGCCTTTTTTCTTCCTGAGATCCCACAGCCAGGGTGGCATCCTGGTCTGAATTTTGTTCAGGTGACCATGAGGTTCACGTGCCAGGGTCGTAAGTGTTGAAAAATGGCCGTCAGTCCCTCTTTTAGTGCTGTTGTAACTTCGACAGTCACTAAACAAATTGTTGTAAGTTGAGGAGTCTTTGTACGTTGTTCCACCAAAATCTGCAAATTGTGGGGGGCCATAAACCTGAAGGTTTGGAGGTTCAGAGGATCTCTGGTTGCCCTCTCCCCTCTTTGGAAGAGTTTTAAGAAAGTTCTTTAGAAAGTTCAAAACATCCTCAAAGATCCATCTGGTCCTGGGCACGCTTTTTTTGAACTATTACCATCTGGCAGGCGGTACAGGATAGTAATAAAAACAAGGACAAATAGGCTGAAAAACAGCTTCTATCCCAGGGCAGGAACTATACTGAATTCTACTATGTAGTGCCATATTAATGCAATATCAGGGGGTTTTCCATTCAATGGTATAGAATGTGAAGGATGGGTGTTTGTGTTTTATTTTTATAGTTATTATGTACACTGAAGATGGCATTTAATTTCATTGCACGAGGGGCAATGACAATAACATAAACTAAGCTAAATGTCAACTAAAAAAATACTCCTTTGGTCTGCTTAGTTGCCAGCAAAAAGAGAATGGGGGAAAGCAGTGCATTCCTTAAATGCTTCAGATAATTCCTAGGCAGCCGAAGCTTCTGGCGCGCAAGATTATTACTGGAGAGCCTGATTGATGACTCTGGGCTACGGAGGTGTCCCATTGGAGAATATATATCCAGGGGATGGGGGGGGAAGACCAGGGTCAAGGGGGAAATGAATGGTGCGTCTCAGAATCGGCTGCACCCAGCTAACGCTGACATGTTCATTCCTAATAAATTTTATTTATTTTTTTACTCCGCGAGATGCGGCTAGAGACTTACGATTTGAATAAGGGTGGATTTGTCAGAGCCTTGACACTAAACTTCCAGAATTTTGGTAGCTGAATTTCTACCGTTTTTCCCAAGATCTCAGTTTGTGCAATGCATAAAAACAGGAGCCGAAACAGGAAGAAAAGAACTTACTTGAGAAGCTAAAGGAGAACTTTTCATTCTGGATTCTTCCTCAACGGGCTCCTTCTGTTCACAAATGGAATTGGGATCCTCCCCTGTCTGCCGAGAACAATCATAAAACAACATCAAAGTCAGGCAAGGTGTCAATCGGTCTGCGACGGCCACCATCTTGCTGTTTTTGACTTCACCCTACACACACCCCCATTGGAAAAGCGAACCCTACTGTGTGGAGGCTGCCGGTCAGGCTGGTGCTGAGGAGGTGGCTGTGCTCCAGGTGGCTCACCATCTGCCTGGTTTCGGCCAACATCTGCTGCAGCTTCTCGTCGGGCGAGCAGGAATCCTGGGAAAAGCCGGACAAAACGGATCAGGGACCATCCGGGAAAAATTCAGCCCAAGCGACAAGGTTAAGCGAAGGTGGGGCGGCCACTGGCTGCCTCTACAACCAGCCAGCGACAAGACAAGCCACTAGGATATAAACTGAGGACAAACCACACTCCCTTCTAGCACTGATGATGTTCCCTAGTTGGGTCATGAAACGTCTGTAAGAAAACAACCAAGCTCAGGGAGCACTAAGGATGCCATAGTTTTCTTCTTCCTCTTCCTCTTCCTCTTCCTCTTCCTCTTCTTCTTCTTCTTCTTCTTCTTCTTCTTCTTCTTCTTCTTCTTCTTCTTCTTCTTCTTCTTCCTCCTCCTCCTCCTCCTCCTCCTCCTCCTCCTTT